ATCCTTTTGCCTCTGCCTGTGTCACATGTTGGGATCTCTCACACCCTGTCTTCCATTAAGCTCAGCTGTGTCCCAGTTTGTTGGCAAGGGGAGAAGGTGACCGTGTAGCGTTGAGTGTTTCAGCTCTATCCCCAGGCCAGGCTGATTGCCCAGAGACTGGTCTCTGCTGTTTCTTCATCCTGCAGACAAGGGAGCTGGCCTTCCTCAGGCTCCAGCCTCCATTTCTCCCCCAAATTCTGCACCCTCCCCCAGCAAATAGTGTGTATAGATTCAAGAGGTCACATGTCAAGCACCAAGATCATTAGGTTTGGATATATGCTTGAGTTTAGGGGATTGGTTTGCAACAGAAAGGTAAGGTAGCATTCCACTGTTGCCCAGATTTTATCTGGCTATATACTTGTCTCTCTGTGCCTTCTAGCTCATCATTTTTGCTTCAACCAGAACAGCACCATTTTATTATTGTGGTAAAATATGTGTAGTATTTACCACTTTAACCATTTTGTTTTTTAAGTTTTATTGTATTTATTTTGAGAGAGACAGAGACTGTGCGAGAGAGGGAGGGGCAGAGAGAAGGAGAGAGAGAATCCCAAGCAGGCTCCGCACCACCAGCCGGAGCCCGACGAGGGGCTTGAACTCATGAATCGTGAGATCATGACCTGAGCTGAAATCAAGAGTTGGGCACCCAACCGACTGAGCCACCCAGGCGCCCCACCACTTTAACCGTTTTTAAGTGCATTGGCATTGTCAGTGCAGCTGTCCCCACCGTCCATCTCCAGAACTTCTCATCTAGACCTGTTAAACCCTATCCTAAACCCCCCACCCTGTCCTCCCCCCAGCCCCTGCCAAGCTCTGTTCTACTTTCTGCCTCATGTACTTGGAACCCTGCAGTATGTATCTGGTTTATTTCACTTAGAAAACAACACAGTTTTGTAACTTGTATATTCATGATTTGTTTGAAGTTCTTGGAAAGATATAGAGTATGAAGCTAAAAAACGGTTGAAAACCACTGCCCCTTTCTAAACCGTAACCTTTCCCACCGTTCAGCCTGGCTTTTGGAGCCCTCTCTGGGACTTTCACTTCATGTC